GGGAAGGTTGAGTAGGTATGGTGGAACACCTTGGAAATTAAAGTGGTCTTTCAAATTAGCGATAGTTTGTTCGATATAGTTGTGTTGTGTAATGGAGATTTGAATCGTGTGAGTTAAGTTGGTTTGCTCCAAATAGGATATGACTTCAAACAGTTGTAGTGGGAGAGGTGGTTTGGTCGCAGGGTCTGGGGTGATGTTGATTTCAATCCAATCGGAGGGGATTTGGTGAAAAAAGTAAAATTCTCTTAGTTGACGTGCCGTGTCAACTAAGACCTTAGGGCTATTAATTGGTAGGGTTAAGTTAATTTCGGTAATAAGTTTCGGATCAGCTAGTAGTGGGGTTTGTCTGTAGGGTTAGCAGTTATGTAGTGAAGAGGAAGGGGGATATTAAATTTGTATTTGCTTTGGATTTCTGCAACAAATTCTTTAGCTAAATGGGTATTAGAGATAGGAAAAGTATAGATTCCAGTCGTTTTAATAGAGTGAAGATCAGATGGAAGGGGTTTCTTCTGTATGAAATAGTCGTTAGGAATACGTCTGAAATTGTAGTGTTCTTTTAGGATGTCAACAAATCTACAGAATTCTGAAGCATCTACTGGGTTGCAGGGAAACAAATGACGGACTGCAGAATTGAGGTTTTGGGGTGTTGAGGGTAGTTCTGGTCGAGCTTCAGGTAAATTGAAGTAGTTAGAAGGAATTCTTTCTACAAGATAATATTTCGCTAGTTTTCTCTGATATTCTGCAAGGTGGGGTAATGCTGATCTTTCAGTGATAGGAAAAAAGTCACGAATCTCAGAGTTGAAGTTTGATGGATCAGATGGAAGAGGTTCAAGTACCATAGAGAAATATGTATCCGGGAGTTTTTCGAATGTAAATATTTTCTGTAAAGCAAGTACTGTAGCTATAGTAAATTTTCTATTCTGAATTGGAAGGAGAAAAGGGAGTATCTGTCGAATATGTTGATGTATTTCAGATGGGTTTTCAAGAAGAGAAACTAGAAGCAGTGTGTATGCTTTGTTTAGCAGGCTGCGGAGGTCTTCGAAAGAGAGTGAGCAAGGAATTTGGGCGAAATTGAGGCAGTAAGTAATGATACATGTGCAAATGTGAGGGCTATTTGTTAAGAAGTCTGTGTTGCGAATGAAATCTAGGGCAAGTTTTGCTTGAGCTTGTTGAAGATTTGGTCTCTGTTGAATTTGTTAATAAAGCGAGCATTGTGTAGTCTTTTGTATTTTTCTATTGCAATCTGCAGAAGGGAATTAAATTCTTTTTGATGTTGTGGTTGGGTCTCTTTGTTTCTTGAGAATGATCGAAAGAATGCAGAGTCCAAATAGATGAATTTTTCATTAATTGCATATGGTATATTATATTGGGTTGGATTGGTTTGAATTTTATGTTGAATGAATTGAAGAAGTAACTCAGGTGATGAGAATGTGTTAATAATAGTGTCATTATTTCAAGTTTCCGAGTCACAGTTAGTGGAGCGGGCTTTGGCTAGTGTGATCGTTACGGAGTTATACCAGGTGAGTGAGCGATCATCTTTATTGTTGTTTTTAGGGAGGTTAGAGGTAAGTGCTTTGCTATAGGATTTTTTTGGGGGGGTTAGTAATTCAATTGTTGCATTCGATTGGGTATCCATTGTTTCATCCAAATATTCGTTGGGTTGGGTATGTCTTGTAGATTCTTTGTCTATCGTTGGAGAAGGTTCTGGGTTCCAGGGGTTGGACTGGGTTAGATCGGGAAATGGATCGGGGCTGTTTTGTTGATCTGTTGTGATAATCATCAGTTGGGGTGCAGGGGTATATGCATTGATATCCACTTTGGGTTGTGAGTTCTGGTATTTTCCCACGCTTGTTTGTTTGTTTCCCACGTTTGTTTGTTTGTTTTGATGGGATGATATCATAGCTATTTTTGACGGGGGTTTGCTGGATTGCCCACTTTGAGGATACGGTTGAGTTGTATTAACTACTAAAAGCTAAGAATGGGTGTTTGAGTTGGTGTTGTTGCTTTCATTTTCCATAGTTTTTTTCTTCTTTAGTGGTGGAGGGTTATCGGGTATGTTGGTTGTTATGTTGCTGTTGTTTTGTTTGTCTGAGGTCCCAGAGGGATCCATCAGCAGTGTATTGGGTGTAGTAGCATGGATAAGGAACGGTTTGAAAGCTTCGGGAGTGGTAAGAAGAATATCTCTGTCTCTTTTCAGCCTTAGAGCTAGTATTGAGTTGTAGTATGTAGAATTCTAAGCACTAAAGTGCAGTTATTTAGATTTTTACTCTATATTCATTGTAAAATTCTATTGTTTGTTTTGTTTACTTATAATTTTGAGATCTACAGGAAAGAGTTCACCCTATACTGCAAATTTTTTAACTAATGAAATTCAAAAAGTTCTTATTGATATTGGAGTTGAAAAGTTTATTGGTATAGTAACAGATGCAGGATCAAATATTAATTTGGCTAGAAACCAAATTTCTCAAAAATATTCACATATATTAAGTATTAAATGTATTGTACATGCATTTAATCTTATAACAAAAGATTTAATTAAACATCTATTTGTAGCAAGAATTATTTAGTGGTGTAAAACTTTAGTTACATATTTTAAAAAAAGTCATTTACCAAATAATCTTTTAGCAACAAAAATTTCTGAAAAAAAAATATTAGGTGGTGGATTAAAAACTTATATTGATACAAGATGGACAACAGTTTATGCAATGTTAAAATCTATTTATCAATTAGAAACATGTTTAAAAGAGGTAATAAAATTATATTTAAATTTTTATAATTTATATTTAAAATAATAAATTTTATAATCTTTTATTTAGATTGTTATTGAAAATCCTTTAGCTATAACAAATGAATCTATTAAAGCAATTATTTGTAAAAAAAAAAAAAAAGATTTTTTTATGATATTTATGATTTAGCTAAGATTTTTAAACCTATTAATGATGCTATTATTAAATTACAAAGTAGAAATATAATAGCTAATTGTTATTTTGCATTAATTTCTTTAGGAAATTCAATTTATAAGCTTTCTAAAGAAGATTCTAAAGCATTTTATAAATATACTATTAACAAATTTAATTTAAGATTTAATGAATATGAATATAATGAATATCTTTTAGCATATTTTTTTCATCTACTTTATAAAGGTAAATAAATTTTATTATTTATTTTTAAATTATTTAATTTTAAAATTTATAAATTATTTAGGTACAGGTATTAAAAAAAGTCAATTTTTAAAAATTGCAACATCAGTAGCAAATATTTGGCAACAAATGATAAAAATTCCAGAAATTGCAACACAATTAAAAAAATATAAACATTCTAAAGAACAATCAGAAGATATGATTATTTCTCAATTTAGAGAATTTTATTTACAAAAAGATCCATTTAATGCACTATTCTCATTAAATATTGATATAGCCTTAAGTTGGTGGAAAACATATACAATATTACTACCATATTTACAATTACTTGGAATTAAACTTTTTTCTATTACTCCACATACAGCAAGTTGTGAAAGAATTTGGTCTA